ACAAAGCACAAAACAGGAAATTGTAATGCTGGACAATAATGGACATGCTTTTGGTGTTGACACCACAAAATATGTGTGGACACTATGCCCGTGTCGGGTTTCTTTCTTTAAGTGTAAAATAGCAGATCTGGTCCTCCATCTTTTATAAATTATCAATTTGATCCCATAACTTAAGATGCATTCATTTAGGTACCAAAAAGAACATTTTTCTCAAAATTCAGTTCCTTAACTTTCAAAAATATTCAATGAATATAAAAAACTCTTACTATTATGCATTCAAATTTTTTACTACATAAAAAATGAAAACTATATAAACCTATTGAAAATCATATATTATCCATACAAATAGTAATAAAATAAAAATTAAAATATAAAAAATACTTCTCATCATTAGCCTCGTTAAGGAGTTCCAGAAGATTTAAGCTAAATCTGGAGTCTCATCTCCCAGCTTTTAGTTCTTTTTAAATGGAGAAACAAAAGGGTTTGGCACATCTGCTTATCTAAGCTTCTCTAGGGAGTGCAATGTCTATGATATATACTCAATTCATCCTTCTATGTAATCCAATTTTTGTTGCAATCGTTTCCTACTTTTCCACAAAAACGCCCTTTCAACTGAAAGCAATGAGGATCAATGTTAAATATAAGTAGCTAAAAAATGTAATTCTAAGGAGTTTTTTTGGCGCTCTCTAGCATGTGATCCAATTCAATTGAATATGCAGTATGATAAGTTACTAACGACTGTTACTCTTAAAGAACGGTTTTGCTTTAATTCTTCTGTTTGGAACGATTCCATACTCCTCAGTGGATTCCACAGTCGCCATTGCACTCTGATATTTTAATTACTAAATTATTATTAATTAAAAAAAAAATTTCATTAAATAAAATTTAATAAATTTATAAATTACATTGCATTAGACATTCCAACATTTGTAAAACAAGAACCCTTAAAATTATGCATGCTTTACCTTCTAAACTAACCCTAAACTAACAGCATAAACACCAAATAATAGAATGGGCACCGAATTCAATAAAATAGCAAACCAATTGAGGATGAATCTAATTAAAGAAAGCAAATTAGAACAGAAACTGTACCTTTTCATCGAGGAATTCGAGCCTCAAATTTCTTCTTCCGCCATTTTGTTTCTTCAGCTTTCTTTCAACTTTCTCTCCTCTAGTCCTCTTTCACTCACATTTTTTTTT